AGACACACACACACACACATACACACACACACACAGACACATACACACACACACACACAGACACACACACACACACACACACACACATACCCTTTAAACCTCCCATGCTCCTTTGAGACCCCTCTTTCTAAGTCACTGAGATCTCTTCTAGCCATGGTTGCCAAATTAATGGGCAACTGGCCATTTTTATACATGACCCTAAGCATGATGGGATGTTTTAATTTCTTAACTCAGGAACCACACCTGTGTGGAAGCACCTGCTTTCAATATACAGTCGTGGTCAAACGTTTTGAGAATGACACAAGTTTTGGTCTTCACAAAGTTTGCTGCTTCAGTGTTTTTAGATGTTTTTGTCAGATGTTACTATGGTATACTGAAGTATAATTACAAGCATTCCATAAGTGTCAAAGGCTTTTATTGACAATTACATTAAGTTTATGCAAAGAGTCAATATTTGCAGTGTTGACCCTTCTTTTTCAAGACCTCTGCAATCCGCCCTGGCATGCTGTCAATTAACTTCTGGGCAACATCCTGACTGATGGCAGCCCATTCTTGCATAATCAATGCTTGGAGTTTGTCAGAATTTGTGGGTTTTTGTTTGTCCACCCGCCTCTTGAGGATCGACCACAAGTTCTCAATGGGATTAAGGTCTGGGGAGTTTCCTGGCCATGGACCCAAAATGTTGATGTTTTGTTCCCCGAGCCACTTAGTTATCACTTTTTCCTTATGGCAAGGTGCTCCATCATGCTGGAAAAGGCATTGGTCGTCACCAAACTGTTCTTGGATGGTTGGGAGAAGTTGCTCTCAGAGGATGTGTTGGTACCATTCTTTATTCATGGCTGTGTTCTTAGGCAAAATTGTGAGTGAGCCCACTCCCTTGGCTGAGAAGCAACCCCACACATTAATGGTCTCATGATGCTTTACTGTTGGCATGACACAGGACTGATGGTAGCGCTCACCTTGTCTTCTCCGGACAAGGTGTTTTCCGGATGCCCCAAACAATCGGAAAGGGGATTCATCAGAGAAAATGACTTTACCCCAGTCCTCAGCATTCCAATCCCTGTACCTTTTGCAGAATATCAGTCTGTCCCTGATGTTTTTCCTGGAGAGAAGTGGCTTCCTCACTGCCCTTCTTGACACCAGGCCATCCTCCAAAAGACTTTGCCTCACTGTGCGTCGGAAAGCCGACTGCGAGCCAGGCCTAATCGCCCAACGTCAGTGCCCGACTTCACTAATGCTCTTGTGGCTGAATGGAAGCAAGTCCCTGCAGCAGATGTACTGTCTCCTCTGGTCTGTAGTCTGATGTACTGTCTCCTCTGGTCTGTAGTCTGATGTACTGTCTCCTCTGGTCTGTAGTCTGATGTACTGTCTCCTCTGGTCTGTAGTCTGATGTACTGTCTCCTCTGGTCTGTAGTCTGATGTACTGTCTCCTCTGGTCTGTAGTCTGATGTACTGTCTCCTCTGGTCTGTAGTCTGATGTACTGTCTCCTCTGGTCTGTAGTCTGATGTACTGTCTCCTCTGGTCTGTAGTCTGATGTACTGTCTCCTCTGGTCTGTAGTCTGATGTACTGTCTCCTCTGGTCTGTAGTCTGATGTACTGTCTCCTCTGGTCTGTAGTCTGATGTACTGTCTCCTCTGGTCTGTAGTCTGATGTACTGTCACCTCTGGTCTGTAGTCTGATGTACTGTCTCCTCTGGTCTGTAGTCTGATGTACTGTCTCCTCTGGTCTGTAGTCTGATGTACTGTCTCCTCTGGTCTGTAGTCTGATGTACTGTCTCCTCTGGTCTGTAGTCTGATGTACTGTCTCCTCTGTAGTCTGAGTTAAATTCCAGTGAGTAAAGTCAGAGGACACTACTGACCTACCGACCAGGGCTCTGGTCAAAGGTAGTGTCCTATATAGAGAATAGTGTGTCATTGAACAGGATTAGACAGCTGCTGTATTTCTACACTATGTACTGGGCCGGCTTAGACGATTACTCTGTACTGGGCTGGCTTAGACGATTACTCTGTACTGGGCTGGCTTAGACGATAACTCTGTACTGGGCTGGCTTAGACGATAACTCTGTACTGGGCTGGCTTAGACGATTACTCTGTACTGGGCTGGCTTAGACGATTACTCTGTACTGGGCTGGCTTAGACGATAACTCTGTACTGGGCTGGCTTAGACGATTACTCTGTACTGGGCTGGCTTAGACGATTACTCTGTACTGGGCTGGCTTAGACGATAACTCTGTACTGGGCTGGCTTAGACGATAACTCTGTACTGGGCTGGCTTAGACGATTACTCTGTACTGGGCTGGCTTAGACGATTACTCTGTACTGGGCTGGCTTAGACGATTACTCTGTACTGGGCTGGCTTAGACGATTACTCTGTACTGGGCTGGCTTAGACGATTACTCTGTACTGGGCTGGCTTAGACGATAACTCTGTACTGGGCTGGCTTAGACGATAACTCTGTACTGGGCTGGCTTAGACGATTACTCTGTACTGGGCTGGCTTAGACGATAACTCTGTACTGGGCTGGCTTAGACGATTACTCTGTACTGGGTTGGCATAGACGATTACTCTGTACTGGGCTGGCTTAGACGATAACTCTGGGCTGGGCTGGCATAGACGATTACTCTGTACTGGGCTGGCTTAGACGATTACTCTGTACTGGGCTGGCTTAGACGATTACTCTGTACTGGGCTGGCTTAGACGATAACTCTGTACTCGGCTGGCTTAGACGATAACTCTGTACTGGGCTGGCTTAGACGATTACTCTGTACTGGGCTGGCATAGACGATTACTCTGTACTGGGCTGGCATAGACGATTACTCTGTACTGGGCCGGCTTAGACGATTACTCAGTACTGGGCCGGCTTAGACGATTACTCTGTACTGGGCCGGCATAGACGATTACTCTGTACTGGGCCGGCTTAGACGATTACTCTGTACTGGGCCGGCTTAGACGATTACTCTGTACTGGGCTGGCTTAGACGATTACTCTGTACTGGGCTGGCATAGACGATTACTCTGTACTGGGCTGGCTTAGACGATTACTCTGTACTGGGCTGGCTTAGACGATTACTCTGTACTGGGCCGGCTTAGACGATTACTCTGTACTGGGCTGGCTTAGACGATTACTCTGTACTGGGCTGGCTTAGACGATTTTAAACTCAACTCCACGATTTACGATGGAGGTGAGCGGCGACTGATTTCAGCACACAAAGAATAGCCCGGCGTTACACACGACATTGTTCTATGAGTGACAAGGAGTTGGCATGATGGCACAAACAGACTGGAACTCAGACCACTAGTTAGCTGCTTCAGAGGACAAGCAAAAACTCAGGAAAAGATTCAGATCACTTTATTCATTAATTGTACACTAGGTCCAAACGAAATTTGACTTGCACTTTATTCCAACCCCTTTGAAAGACTCATAGCTATACAGGTTGTAGAGATTGGAGCTCTGCCTCATTGGGCACCTGGGAAAACCTCCTGTCCCTGGTGGTGTGCAGCAGACAGGCTGACATGCAGCCTCTGCTCTGGAATGTAGGACTGGTTTTCCACTGGGCAGTAACTCAGAGGGAAAGAACCTTCATTACATCACTGTGTTCTCTCTCACTGGGCAGTAACTCAGAGGGATAGAACCTTCATTACATCACTGTGTTCTCTCTCACTGGGCAGTAACTCAGAGGGATAGAACCTTCATTACATCACTGTGTTCTCTCTCACTGGGCAGTAACTCAGAGGGAAAGAACCTTCATTACATCACTGTGTTCTCTCTCACTGGGCAGTAACTCAGAGGGATAGAACCTTCATTACATCACTGTGTTCTCTCTCACTGGGCAGTAACTCAGAGGGATAGAACCTTCATTACATCACTGTGTTCTCTCTCACTGGGCAGTAACTCAGAGGGATAGAACCTTCATTACATCACTGTGTTCTCTCTCACTGGGCAGTAACTCAGAGGGATAGAACCTTCATTACATCACTGTGTTCTCTCTCACTGGGCAGTAACTCAGAGGGAAAGAACCTTCATTACATCACTGTGTTCTCTCTCACTGGGCAGTAACTCAGAGGGATAGAACCTTCATTACATCACTGTGTTCTCTCTCACTGGGCAGTAACTCAGAGGGATAGAACCTTCATTACATCACTGTGTTCTCTCTCACTGGGCAGTAACTCAGAGGGATAGAACCTTCATTACATCACTGTGTTCTCTTCTGCTGCCTGCTGGAATGTCTGTCAACTTGACCTGTTACGTTAACGTTAACCCCTTCAAATGTCTGTCAACTTGACCTGTTACGTTAACGTTTCCCCCTTCAAATGTCTGTCAACTTGACCTGTTACGTTAACGTTTCCCCCTTCAAATGTCTGTCAACTTGACCTGTTACGTTAACGTTAACCCCTTCAAATGTCTGTCAACTTGACCTGTTACGTTAACGTTTCCTCCTTCAAATGGCTGTCAACTTGACCTGTTACGTTAACGTTTACCCCTTCAAAAGTCTGTCAATTTGACCTGTTACGTTAACGTTTACCCCTTCAAAAGTCTGTCAATTTGACCTGTTACGTTAACGTTTACCCCTTCAAATGGCTGTCAACTTGACCTGTTACGTTAACGTTTCCCCCTTCAAATGGCTGTCAACTTGACCTGTTACGTTAACGTTTCCCCCTTCAAATGTCTGTCAACTTGACCTGTTACGTTAACGTTTACCCCTTCAAATGGCTTCACCAAATGCCTTGTTGGACTTAAATGTCTTATTTGGACCTGTATGTCTTTTTATTAGCCTGGTCCCAGATCTGTTTGTGCTCTTGCCAACTCCATTGCTGTCATTGTCAAGCATGATAATTTCATAAGGAGTTGACAAGAGAGCAACAACAGACTGGCACCCAGGCTTCATTCTTATATCTATTCAGGAACCTTTTTAGTAAAACAGCTTCTTTGTGTGATAAAACACTGCTTTAACCGTATGGCTTAAAAGCATCCTTCATCTCAGGACCTTGTTGATATCACAGCATTCCTCCCCTCTGAGTGACCACCCCTCCCCATGTCAGTGCTGGAATTCCATCCAGCCTAGAGAAAAGAGCTGGAGCATGGAGGAGGAGGATAACTACATGTGTTTCCTCTTCCTGTTTGGCAGGTTGTCTAGGGGACACACAGTTCTGCTTCCGTTTCCGCCAGGCCTCAGGCAGGATGTCCTCTCTGGGGTTTTTTCTGGACCAGTTTGACCGTGATGCCCCAGTCTGCCTCAAGGTAAAAAGGGTTCAGGGACACACTACATGTCTGTCTGGCTGCCTCTGGCTGGCTGGCTGTCTGTCTGTCTGGTTGTCTGTCTGTCTGTCTGGCTGCCTCTGTCTGGCTGGCTGGCGGTCTCTGGCTGGCTGTCGCTGTCTGTCTGGCTAGCTGGCTGCCGGCTGGCTGTCTGGCTGGCTGTGTCTGGCTGGCTGGCTGGCTGGCTGTCTGGCTGCCGTCTGGCTGCCGTCTGGCTGCCTGGCTGGCTGTCTGGCTGTGTCTGGCTGGCTGTCTGGCTGGCTGGCTGTCTCTGTCTGTGTGTCTAGCTGTCTGTCTGTCTGCAGCGCCCTGCTCCAGAGGACCAGAACCAGGACCAGAACCAGAACACCTTCAAACGTCTTTAGACCTTTTACTAGACAGTGTAAAGAGCCTGGAGTTGCTCCCGGATCGTAAAACTCTACATCACAGGGTCTTTACATCACAGGGTCGCTACAGTTGTTGTTATTTGCGGTCGTAAACATTGTTTTGAGTTAATTCTATGAGGGGGGAGGGTCTGCAATTTATTTTACAGTGCAAGGGGAGGGTCATGTGAAAATATTTTTGACGTTGGGGAGTGGGGGTAGCGTGCTGAATAAATATAGCTGGGTTATAATAGCATGTCCACTAAGGGGAAACTCCTCATGACTCTACAGGTAAACATCGACCTGAGAGATGAGAATCTCTGTGAGAGCCATACAGACTCAGCCAACACTTTCCCCATGCCATTACACACATCAGTCAGTCACCAACCGGCCATTACACACATCAGTCAGTCACCAACCGGCCATTACACACATCAGTCAGTCACCAACCAGCCATTAAACATCAGTCAGTCACCAACCGGCCATTACACACATCAGTCAGTCACCAACCGGCCATTACACACATCAGTCAGTCACCAACCGGCCATTACACACATCAGTCAGTCACCAACCGGCTATTAAACATCAGTCAGTCACCAACCGGCCATTACACACATCAGTCAGTCACCAACCGGCTATTAAACATCAGTCAGTCACCAACCGGCTATTAAACATCAGTCAGTCACCAACCGGCCATTACACACATCAGTCAGTCACCAACTGGCCATTAAACATCAGTCATTCACCAACCGGCCATTAAACATCAGTCAGTCACCAACCGGCCATTAAACATCAGTCAGTCACCAACCGGCCATTAAACATCAGTCAGTCACCAACCGGCCATTACACACATCAGTCAGTCACCAACCGGCTATTAAACATCAGTCAGTCACCAACCGGCCATTACACACATCAGTCAGTCACCAACCGGCTATTAAACATCAGTCAGTCACCAACCGGCCATTATACACATCAGTCAGTCACCAACCGGCCATTGCACACATCAGTCAGTCACCAACCGGCCATTACACACATCAGTCAGTCACCAACCGGCCATTACACACATCAGTCAGTCACCAACCGGCCATTACACACATCAGTCAGTCACCAACCGGCCATTACACACATCAGTCAGTCACCAACCGGCCATTAAACATCAGTCAGTCACCAACCGGCCATTAAACATCAGTCAGTCACCAACCGGCCATTACACACATCAGTCAGTCACCAACCAGCCATTGCACACATCAGTCAGTCACCAACCGGCTATTAAACATCAGTCAGTCACCAACCGGCTATTAAACATCAGTCAGTCACCAACCGGCCATTACACACATCAGTCAGTCACCAACCGGCTATTAAACATCAGTCAGTCACCAACCGGCCATTATACACATCAGTCAGTCACCAACCGGCCATTGCACACATCAGTCAGTCACCAACCGGCCATTACACACATCAGTCAGTCACCAACCGGCCATTACACACATCAGTCAGTCACCAACCGGCCATTACACACATCAGTCAGTCACCAACCGGCCATTACACACATCAGTCAGTCACCAACCGGCCATTAAACATCAGTCAGTCACCAACCGGCCATTAAACATCAGTCAGTCACCAACCGGCTATTAAACATCAGTCAGTCACCAACCGGCCATTACACACATCAGTCAGTCACCAACCAGCCATTGCACACATCAGTCAGTCACCGCTTTAAACATCAGTCAGTCACCAACCGGCTATTAAACATCAGTCAGTCACCAACCGGCTATTAAACATCAGTCAGTCACCAACCGGCCATTACACACATCAGTCAGTCACCAACCGGCTATTAAAACATCAGTCAGTCACCAACCGGCCATTACACACATCAGTCAGTCACCAACCGGCTATTAAACATCAGTCAGTCACCAACCGGCTATTAAACATCAGTCAGTCACCAACCGGCCATTACACACATCAGTCAGTCACCAACCGGCCATTACACACATCAGTCAGTCACCAACCGGCCATTAAACATCAGTCAGTCACCAACCGGCCATTACACACATCAGTCAGTCACCAACCGGCTATTAAACATCAGTCAGTCACCAACCGGCCATTACACACATCAGTCAGTCACCAACCGGCTATTAAACATCAGTCAGTCACCAACCGGCCATTACACACATCAGTCAGTCACCAACCGGCTATTAAACATCAGTCAGTCACCAACCGGCCATTACACACATCAGTCAGTCACCAACTGGCCATTAAACATCAGTCAGTCACCAACCGGCCATTAAACATCAGTCAGTCACCAACCGGCCATTAAACATCAGTCAGTCACCAACCGGCCATTAAACATCAGTCAGTCACCAACCGGCCATTACACACATCAGTCAGTCACCAACCGGCCATTACACACATCAGTCAGTCACCAACCGGCCATTAAACATCAGTCAGTCACCAAACCGGCCATTACACACATCAGTCAGTCACCAACCGGCTATTAAACATCAGTCAGTCACCAACCGGCCATTACACACATCAGTCAGTCACCAACCGGCTATTAAACATCAGTCAGTCACCAACCGGCCATTACACACATCAGTCAGTCACCAACCGGCTATTAAACATCAGTCAGTCACCAACCGGCCATTACACACATCAGTCAGTCACCAACTGGCCATTAAACATCAGTCAGTCACCAACCGGCCATTAAACATCAGTCAGTCACCAACCGGCCATTAAACATCAGTCAGTCACCAACCGGCCATTAAACATCAGTCAGTCACCAACCGGCCATTAAACATCAGTCAGTCACCAACCGGCCATTACACACATCAGTCAGTCACCAACCAGCCATTAAACATCAGTCAGTCACCAACCGGCCATTACACACATCAGTCAGTCACCAACCGGCCATTACACACATCAGTCAGTCACCAACCGGCCATTACACACATCAGTCAGTCACCAACCGGCTATTAAACATCAGTCAGTCACCAACCGGCCATTACACACATCAGTCAGTCACCAACCGGCTATTAAACATCAGTCAGTCACCAACCGGCCATTACACACATCAGTCAGTCACCAACTGGCCATTAAACATCAGTCAGTCACCAACCGGCCATTAAACATCAGTCAGTCACCAACCGGCCATTAAACATCAGTCAGTCACCAACCGGCCATTAAACATCAGTCAGTCACCAACCGGCCATTACACACATCAGTCAGTCACCAACCGGCCATTAAACATCAGTCAGTCACCAACCGGCCATTAAACATCAGTCAGTCACCAACCGGCCATTATACACATCAGTCAGTCACCAACCGGCCATTGCACACATCAGTCAGTCACCAACCGGCCATTACACACATCAGTCAGTCACCAACCGGCCATTACACACATCAGTCAGTCACCAACCGGCCATTACACACATCAGTCAGTCACCAACCGGCCATTACACACATCAGTCAGTCACCAACCGGCCATTAAACATCAGTCAGTCACCAACCGGCCATTACACACATCAGTCAGTCACCAACTGGCCATTAAACATCAGTCAGTCACCAACCGGCCATTAAACATCAGTCAGTCACCAACCGGCCATTAAACATCAGTCAGTCACCAACCGGCCATTAAACATCAGTCAGTCACCAACCGGCCATTACACACATCAGTCAGTCACCAACCGGCTATTAAACATCAGTCAGTCACCAACCGGCCATTATACACATCAGTCAGTCACCAACCGGCCATTGCACACATCAGTCAGTCACCAACCGGCCATTACACACATCAGTCAGTCACCAACCGGCCATTACACACATCAGTCAGTCACCAACCGGCCATTACACACATCAGTCAGTCACCAACCGGCCATTACACACATCAGTCAGTCACCAACCGGCCATTAAACATCAGTCAGTCACCAACCGGCCATTAAACATCAGTCAGTCACCAACCGGCTATTAAACATCAGTCAGTCACCAACCGGCTATTAAACATCAGTCAGTCACCAACCGGCCATTAAACATCAGTCAGTCACCAACCGGCCATTACACACATCAGTCAGTCACCAACCAGCCATTGCACACATCAGTCAGTCACCAACCGGCTATTAAACATCAGTCAGTCACCAACCGGCCATTACACACATCAGTCAGTCACCAAACCGGCTATTAAACATCAGTCAGTCACCAACCGGCCATTACACACATCAGTCAGTCACCAACCGGCTATTAAACATCAGTCAGTCACCAACCGGCTATTAAACATCAGTCAGTCACCAACCGGCCATTACACACATCAGTCAGTCACCAACCGGCCATTAAACATCAGTCAGTCACCAACCGGCCATTACACACATCAGTCAGTCACCAACCGGCTATTAAACATCAGTCAGTCACCAACCGGCCATTACACACATCAGTCAGTCACCAACCGGCTATTAAACATCAGTCAGTCACCAACCGGCCATTACACACATCAGTCAGTCACCAACCGGATATTAAACATCAGTCAGTCACCAACCGGCCATTACACACATCAGTCAGTCACCAACCGGCTATTAAACATCAGTCAGTCACCAACCGGCCATTAAACATCAGTCAGTCACCAACCGGCCATTACACACATCAGTCAGTCACCAACCGGCCGTTGAACATCAGTCAGTCACCAACCGGCCATTGAACATCAGTCAGTCACCAACCGGCCATTAAACATCAGTCAGTCACCAACCGGCCATTGAACATCAGTCAGTCACCAACCGGCCATTACACACATCAGTCAGTCACCAACCGGCCATTACACACATCAGTCAGTCACCAACCGGCCATTACACACATCAGTCAGTCACCAACCGGCCATTACACACATCAGTCAGTCACCAACCGGCCATTACACACACCAGTCAGTCACCAACCGGCCATTACACACATCAGTCAGTCACCAACCGGCCATTACACACATCAGTCAGTCACCAACCGGCCATTACACACATCAGTCAGTCACCAACCGGCCATTAAACATCAGTCAGTCACCAACCGGCCATTACACACATCAGTCAGTCACCAACCGGCCATTACACACATCAGTCAGTCACCAACCGGCCATTAAACATCAGTCAGTCACCAACCGGTCATTACACACATCAGTCAGTCACCAACCGGCCGTTGAACATCAGTCAGTCACCAACCGGCCATTGAACATCAGTCAGTCACCAACCGGCCATTGAACATCAGTCAGTCACCAACCGGCCATTAAACATCAGGTCAGTCACCAACCGGCCATTACACACATCAGTCAGTCACCAACCGGCCATTACACACATCAGTCAGTCACCAACCGGCCATTACACACATCAGTCAGTCACCAACCGGCCATTACACACATCAGTCAGTCACCAACCGGCCATTACACACATCAGTCAGTCACCAACCGGCACATTACACACATCAGTCAGTCACCAACCGGCCATTACACACATCAGTCAGTCACCAACCGGCCATTACACACATCAGTCAGTCACCAACCGGCCATTACACACTCAGTCAGTCACCAACCGGCTATTAAACATCAGTCAGTCACCAACCGGCTATTAAACATCAGTCAGTCACCAACCGGCTATTAAACATCAGTCAGTCACCAACCGGCCATTAAACATCAGTCAGTCACCAACCGGCCATTACACACATCAGTCAGTCACCAACCCGCCATTACACATCAGTCAGTCACCAACCGGCTATTAACATCAGTCAGTCACCAACCGGCCTATTAAACATCAGTCAGTCACCAACCGGCTATTAAACATCAGTCAGTCACCAACCGGCATTAAACATCAGTCAGTCACCAACCGGCCATTAAACATCAGTCAGTCACCAACCGGCCATTAAACATCAGTCAGTCACCAACCGGCCATTACAACATCAGTCAGTCACCAACCGGCCATTACACACATCAGTCAGTCACCAAACCGGCCATTACACACATCAGTCAGTCACCAACCGGCCCATTACACCACATCAGTCAGTCACCAACCGGCCATTACACACATCAGTCAGTCACCAACCGGCCATTAAACATCAGTCAGTCACCAACCGGCCATTAAACATCAGTCAGTCACCAACCGGCCATTAAACATCAGTCAGTCACCAACCAGCCATTGAACATCAGTCAGCAGCCATAGCCATCCATGGCTTCCTACTGCACTCTGACTGCCAGGTCTGGTCACACACTGGAAAATACTAAAGTTGGAAAATGAATATATTCCTTGGGAGTATGCTGCCCTGACATCTGGGTTTGAGTATTTAACCTGTCCTATAGAGAAGGGGATAGTGTTATGTCTGGGTTTCAGTATATAACCTGTCCTATAGAGAAGGGGATAGTGTTATGTCTGGGTTTCAGTGTATAACCTGTCCTATAGAGAAGGGGATCAATTCACTTGTCATCTTTCCACTTCCAACCATGCAGTATGTAGGCCTACACCAATGACTAATGTACTGGTGTGTGTGTCTTAATGTACTGGTGTGTGTCTTAATGTACTGGTGTGTGTGTGTGTTAATGTACTGGTGTGTGTCCGTACTAAATGTGAGTTTGTGTGTGTAGAGGGACCAGGGTCATTACTATGGTTACGTCTACTTCAGACAAGTCCGGGACAAGTCACTCAAGAGGGGCTACTTTCAGAAGGTGAGTTGGCAGGATTCAGCACGTGATATGAGACAACATCTTTGCATAATTTTTTATTCTTGCTACATTTTTTTTTTTTCAAAACTCCCTGATCTTATTTCAGTATGATTAACTGTTGATCTGTGTGTGTTTCCAGTCCCTGGTCCTTATCAGCAAGCTGCCCTACGTCATGTTCTTCCACTCCCTGCTGAAGCTCATTGCTCCAGAGTACTTTGAGAAGCAGGAGCCATGCCTGGAGGCTGGTGAGTCTCCCAGTTCATCCTGCTCCAAACGGGGAAACAGGGAGGGACTTCTTCAACACACAAAGCTTTCTGCTACAGCCTGCCCTAATGAGCACAACTCTGTTCTCTGAGCTATGGAATGATTAGTAGAGGGGCTGGTCCCTGGTCCCTTTTATAAAGTGTTGTCTGATTAGTAGAGGGGCTGGTCCCTGGTCCCTTTATAAAGTGTTGTCTGATTAGTAGAGGGGCTGGTCTGTGGTCCCTTTATAAAGTGTTGTCTGATTAGTAGAGGGGCTGGTCCCCTGGTCCCTTTATAAAGTGTTGTCTGATTAGTAGGGGGCTGGTCCCTGGTCCCTTTATAAAGTGTTGTCTGATTAGTAGAGGGGCTGGTCCCTGGTCCCTTTATAAAGTGTTGTCTGATTAGTAGAGGGGCTGGTCCCTGGTCCCTTTATAAAGTGTTGTCTGATTAGTAGAGGGGCTGGTCCCTGGTCCCTTTATAAGTGTTGTCTGATTAGTAGAGGGGCTGGTCCCTGGTCCCTTTATAAAGTGTTGTCTGATTAGTAGAGGGGCTGGTCCCTGGTCCCTTTATAAAGTGTTGTCTGATTAGTAGAGGGGCTGGTCCCTGGTCCCTTTATAAAGTGTTGTTGTGTGTTTAGTTGTAACTATTATTTGCCCTGTGAAGCCTGTTGCCTGCTGCCTGTAGCCTGCAGCCTGTAGCCTGTCTGTGTGTCTTCATCTGGCTTGTTTCTGTGTGTGACAGCCTGCAACGACATCGACCGCTGGCCCACTCCTCATCCAGGGAAAATACTGACCCTCCCTATAATGGGGACAGTTATGAAGGTACGTCTAACCCAGGGAAAATACTGACCCTCTCTATAATGGGGACAGTTATGAAGGTACGTCTAACCCAGGGAAAATACTGACCCTCTCTATAATGGGGACAGTTATGAAGGTACGTCTAACCCAGGGAAAATACTGACCCTCTCTATAATGGGGACAGTTATGAAGGTACGTCTAACCCTAACCCAGGGAAAATACTGACCCTCTCTATAATGGGGACAGTTATGAAGGTACGTCTAACCCAGGGTAAATACTGACCCTCCCTATAATGGGGACAGTTATGAAGGTACGTCTAACCCAGGGAAAATACTGACCCTCTCTATAATGGGGACAGTTATGAAGGTACGTCTAACCCTAACCCAGGGAAAATACTGACCCTCCCTATAATGGGGACAGTTATGAAGGTACGTCTAACCCAGGGAAAATACTGACCCTCCCTATAATGGGGACAGTTATGAAGGTACGTCTAACCCAGGGAAAATACTGACCCTCTCTATAATGGGGACAGTTATGAAGGTACGTCTAACCCAGGGAAAATACTGACCCTCTCTATAATGGGGACAGTTATGAAGGTACGTCTAACCCAGGGAAAATACTGACCCTCTCTATAATGGGGACAGTTATGAAGGTACGTCTAACCCAGGGAAAATACTGACCCTCTCTATAATGGGGACAGTTATGAAGGTACGTCTAACCCAGGGAAAATACTGACCCTCCCTATAATGGGGACAGTTATGAAGGTACGTCTAACCCAGGGTAAATACTGACCCTCTCTATAATGGGGACAGTTATGAAGGTACGTCTAACCCAGGGTAAATACTGACCCTCTCTATAATGGGGACAGTTATGAAGGTACGTCTAACCCTAACCCAGGGAAAATACTGACCCTCTCTATAATGGGGACAGTTATGAAGGTACGTCTAACCCAGGGAAAATACTGACCCTCTCTATAATGGGGACAGTTATGAAGGTACGTCTAACCCTAACCCAGGGAAAATACTGACCCTCCCTATAATGGGGACAGTTATGAAGGTACGTCTAACCCAGGGAAAATACTGACCCTCTCTATAATGGGGACAGTTATGAAGGTACGTCTAACCCAGGGAAAATACTGACCCTCTCTATAATGGGGACAGTTATGAAGGTACGTCTAACCCTAACCCAGGGAAAATACTGACCCTCTCTATAATGGGGACAGTTATGAAGGTACGTCTAACCCAGGGAAAATACTGACCCTCTCTATAATGGGGACAGTTATGAAGGTACGGAATGGCTAAATATTGATATAGGCCTTTTCTACGATTACCAATCAATCAAATGTATTTATAAAGCAATTTTTTTTACACCAGCAGTTGTCTCAAAGTACTTGTCTTTTACAGTAATGATTATAGTGTTAAGCAACTCAAACATAATCAATCAATAATCAATATTTCTTCGTGTTTTGCTAGGTTCGGATCCCTACATGTTATGACAAGCCTGGAACCTCTCAGCTGGTGCAGTCAACACAGGTGATGATGAGAATCACCATGCTACTAAAAACATGACGAGGCGTCCAAAATGGCTCCCTCTATTCGCTATTAGTGAACTACTTTTGACCAGAATAGGATGCCATTTCAGATGCATACCGTGTCATTCTGGTGCACTGCTGATAATCTCCTCATAACCCTGTGACCCTTATTACACCCGATGACTCATTTGTGTTACAGAATGACAACCTGGTGTCCATAGTTCTCCCCACAATCCATGAGGTAGACTTGTTCATGTGAGTACATGTTAGTAGTGGGGGGTTCATCCCAAATGGTGCGCACTATATCTTTTATATAGTGCACCACCTTTGACCAGGGCCTGCATAGGGCTCTGGTCAAAAGTAGTGCACTATATAGGGAAAAGGGTGCTGGACTGTTGATGAGTTGTTGTACCACCTCCTCAGCTCTCTGATGCCACCCATTGGTAGGGAGTGGTAGTGCAGGCCTGCCCCTTTTGTACACTTAGCTGCTTTATGTTGTTCCCCCAGTGTAGCCATGGTAACATCAGTTCCTCCTCTCAGGGACTAGTTTCTGTAAAGAATCCATCCAGGGGGAAACGGAGAGCAGATCCAGTTCCAATCTGTGTTTGCATGAACATCTGTCCATCTCTTTCACTCACTCTCTCTGCAGGTGTTTCCACCCAGTCTTCTTCCACATTCAGATGTTATGGGAGCTGGTGTTGCTAGGAGAGGCTCTGGTTGTCATGGCACCATCACCGGCAGAATCCTCCGATACTGTTCTGGCATTGGTCAGGTGAGGCAAGGAGGGTGTGGCTAGAAAGATTAACATATTTGTTTTTTAAATAAAACAGTATACAGATATAATGTAAAATACAGTGCTGTGAAAAAGTATGTTCCCCTTTTAGAATTTTCTCTATTTTTGCATATTTTCTGACACTGAATGTTTTTAGATCTTCAACCAAAATCTAATATTAGATAAAGGGTACCTGAGTGAACAAATAACACAACATTTTGACAATTATTTAATTTATTTCATAAACAAAGTTATGCAACACCCAATTCCCCTGTGTGAAAAAGTAATTGCCCCCTTACACTCAGTAACTGGTTGTGCCACCTTTAGCTGCAATGACTCCAACCAAATGCTTCCTGTAGTTGTTGATCAGTCTCTCACGTCGCTGTGGAGGAATTTTGGGCCCACCCTTCCATGCAGAACTGCTTTAACTCAGTGACGTGTGGGTTTTCAAGCATGAACTGCTCGTTTCAAGTCCTGCCACAACATCTCAATCGGGTTGAGGTCTGGACTTTGACTAGGCCATTCCAAAACATTAAATTAGTTGCTTTTCAGCCATTCCGATGTAGACTTGATTGTGTGTTTTGGATCATTGTCTTGCTGCATGACCCAGCTGCGCTTCAGCTTCAGCTCACAGACGGATGGTCTGACATTCTCCTGTAGAATTATCCCACAAATGTTCTGCATGGAAGGGTGGGCCCAAAATTCCTCCACAGCGACGTGAGAGACTGATCAACAACTACAGGAAGCGTTTGGTTGGAGTCATTGCAGCTAAAGGTGGGGAATTACTTCTTCACACAGGGGCATTGTGTGTTGCATAACTTTGTTTATTAAATAAATTAAATAATTATCCAAATGTTGTGTTATTTGTTCACTCAGGTACCCTTTATCTAATATTAGGTTTTGGTTGAAGATCTAAAAACATTAAGTATCAAAAATATGCAAAAAATAGAGAAAATCAGAAAGGCAAATACTTTTTCCCACAATGTCATGCAGGAGCTACGTGCAGGCTGATGCCAGTATAATATACTCAACCCCTTTATCAAGGTTATTAACGTGTCTGGAGTAGAATCACTAATGTGTGTGTGTGTGTGTGTGTGTGTGTTCCTGTGTGCGCGTGTGTGTGTCCTGTGTCTGTGTGTGTGTGTGTGTGTGTGTACAGCTGCATCTCTCCACTGCGTTACTGCAGTGACTTCAGACCGTACTTCACCATCCATGACAGCGAGTTTAAGGAGTACACCACCAGGACACAGGCCCCGTGAGTAACACTATACCACCAGGACACAGGCCCCGTGAGTAACACTATACCACCAGGCCACAGGCCCCGTGAGTAACACTATACCACCAGGACACAGGCCCCGTGAGTAACACTACACCACCAGGACACAGGCCCCGTGAGTAACACTACACCACCAGGACACAGGCCCCGTGAGTAACACTACACCACCAGGACACAGGCCCCGTGAGTAACACTATACCACCAGGACACAGGCCCCGTGAGTAACACTATACCACCAGAACACAGGCCTCCTGAGTAACACTATAGTATAGTAGGAGTGCCAGGACACAGGCCTCCTGAGTAACACTATAGTATAGTAGGAGTACCAGGATACAGGCCTCCTGAGTAACACTATAGTATAGTAGGAGTACCAGGACACAGGCCCTGTGAGTTAACTGGCACAACTGAAAACACCTTGTGCTCTCCACTGAGGGGTATACTACAGAGCAGCTTCTATGAATTGGCCAACTCACTCTGATAAGCCAGCAGAAATAACTATGGATTAAAAAAGCTACACTTAGATATGTGTTGTCGTTTGTTGAATCAATTAGAGCATACCAATTTCAAGCTTATCTTAAAAAATATTTATATATTTCAGAATATTTAGGTAAATTGGCTAGCTAACTCCTTGATCCTGCTTTGTAGTATACCGCTGTGGCCTGATCTCTACTCTCAAGCTAGTTATCGACACAGGCCCAGTGCGTAACTGGAGGAATAACGATCACTTTATACTTCACATTTGATTTGATTTGGGGCGGCAGGTAGCTTTGTGGTTAAGAGCGTTGTGCCAGTAACCGAAAGGTTGCTGGTTCTAATCCCCGAGCTGACTAGGTGAAAAATCTGTCGATGTGCCCTTGAGCAAGGCACTTAACCCTAATCGCTCCTGTAAGTCGCTATGGATAAGAGCGTCTGCTAAATGACCAATAAAAAAATAAAAAATATATAAAAAAAAATGTGTCTAGCTATGTAGTATGGACATGCTAGCTATGAGGGAGTGTATGGAACACAGAAGCCAGCCAGACATGCTTATGTTGTCAAGTAGAGCTACAATGATTTCTTAACATGTGTCTTTGTGCTGTCTGTCTTTGTGGCTGTCTGTCTTTCTGACTGTCTATGTCTGTCTCTCTTTCTCTGTCTGTCTCTCAGGCCATCTGTGATTCTTGGCGTGACCAACCCGTTCTTTGCTAAGACCCTCCAACACTGGCCTCACATCATCCGTATTGGAGACATGAAGCAGGCTGGAGAGACGGTCAAGCAGATGAAGGTCAAGAAGCTGAAGAACCTGAAGACCCTGGACTCTAAACCAGGTTATTGACCGTAGGCTTTACTCTCACATGACTAGGGTTGCAAAAATTCCCGGCTTTTTTAAATCCTGGTTGAAGAATCCCAGGATGGAGGATTCCCTTGCAGGTGATTCCACAAATGGTTCTTTCTGGGATTTCTGAAACTTTTGAATTTTGCAAGTTTCTGGATTTTTACAACCCTACGCATGACTGGTATGGATGGCTGTTGGTGTTTTTACAACCCTACGCATTACTGGTATGGATGGCTGCTGGTGTTTTTATATACACATTCCCCCTTCACCAATGGAGGCTCCTCAGAGGAGGAAGGGGAGGACCAACTTACTCAGTGAATTTCATAAAAATAAAATAGTGAAACATTAAAGTTATCCTTTTTAGATAAAACTATACTAAATATATTCACATGTCACAATCATTTATTAAAACACTGTTTTGCAAAGAAGGTCTACAGTAGCCTCAACAGCACTCTGTAGGGTAGCACCATGGTGTAGCCGGAGGACAGCTAGTTTCCATCCTCCTCTGGGTACATTGACTTCAATACAATACCTAGGAGGCTCATGGTTCTCACCCCATTCCATAGACTTACACAGTAATTATGACAACTTCCGGAGGACGTCCTCCAACCTATCAGAGCTCTTGCAGCATGAACTGACATGTTGTCCACCCAATCAAAGGATCAGAGAATGAATCTAGTATTGAAAGCATAAGCTACAGCTAGCTAGCACTGCAGTGAATAAAATGTGGTGAGCAGTTGACTAAGAGAGGAAGACAATAGTTTAACAGTTTTCAACAAATTAACAGAGAGGGAGAGAGAGAGAGAGCTATATTTCGTTGTATTTTTTCTCTCACTTTAACAGCTAGCTAAGTTAGCCTACTCACACACCCGGCTCAAACAGAGGAATGCAATTTATGTTAGCTAGCTGGCTAAGGCTATCCAACACTGGAACTCTTCCAAGTCAAGGGAAGCTTTCAGTTGTATTAATTTATTGCCACCGGGGCCTGCCGGTGTAACTGCTAAACTGCTTACTGTACTGCGTGATTGTAGCGGGTTTACTAATGCGTTAGTTCTAGTAGCTGTGTTGACTATGACGTTAGCTAATATGGTGACAATGATATAGGCCAGGGTTCTTCAATTCCGGTCCTGGAGGGCCGAAACACCTCTGTTTTTCATCCTCTCCTTCTAATCGGGCTAATTCAGACCTGGGACACCTGGTGAGTGCAATTAACTACCAGGTAGAAATAAAAAACAGAAGTGTTTCGGCCCTCCAGGACCGGAATTGAAGAACCCTGCTGTAGGCTGTGTGTAGCGGTTAGTGATCAGGGTATGAAGGTTTGGCTTGGAAAGGTTTTTTCGCCTGGACACAGAATAGCGGGTAGATGGAAGAAGGGCTTATACAACGATCAAAGGGATCATGCTGTTTGTATGTGGCTGCTATGAAAGTCAACTGTGTTTGGGGGTGATCATTCCGCCGATTCTGTTAAAAAGTTTCTTAAACGGAAGCAACGGAACGAAACGGGGATAAACCTAGCTGAATTTGTCCAATAGAAACTCTCGTTTGCAACTGTTTGGACTAATGATTACACCCTAGATCCGCTAGATGCAGGCCAGAGTGTGCAAGGCGGTATTTTCTGTCACTTTGATTACTCCAACTTGGGTCTCGACCTGTGCACCTCCTTTATAAACTTTCATTCGTAGGCTATGTTGTAGCAACCTCATGATAGGTATAGGGAACATTTTAGTATCATTTAGTATCCTAAACATATTGATGGTACATTGAGCTGGGTGAATGGAATATGAATTACAGTCATCCAATATGCTGTAATAGAAATAAGGCCATGCTCATAAAAATAATAATCGTTCTCCCAAATCTTAAACGGCACGGACCGACACTGCCCTTCACTGTGTAAAGCTAGTGTTCCCATATCCACATTGCCCCTTCACTGTGTGAAGCTAGTGTTCCCATATCCACATTGCCCCTTCACTGTGTGAAGCTAGTGTTCCCATATCCACATTGCCCCTTCACTGTGTGAAGCTAGTGTTCCCATATCCACATTGCCCCTTCACTGTGTGAAGCTAGTGTTCCCATATCCACATTGCCCCTTCACTGTGTGAAGCTAGTTTGTGTGTTCCATTGCAGGTGTCTACAGCGCATACAAGCCCTACATTAGCAAAGATGAGGATATCATCAAACAACTACAGAAGGTAAGCGGGGAACTAGGGAACTACAGAAAGTAATGGGGGGGGGGGGGGGGGGGGGGGGGGGGGTGTATTGGCAATAGCGAGCCGTTTGGGACTAACTATGCCTGCTGTATATACTGAGGTTCCTGTTGTGTCCCTCCCCTCAGGATGTTGTTGTTGTTGTTGTTGTGTATACTGAGGTTCCTGTTGTCTCCTCCCCTCAGGGTGTCCAACAGAAACGTCCCTCGGCGGCACAGAATGCCATCCTGCGACGGTACTTCCTGGAGCTGACGCAGAGCTTCATCATTCCACTGGTGAGAACATCAGAAACTTAGAACATCAAACTTAGAACATCAGAAACTTAAAACCTCAGAACCTGGGAACCTTAGAACCTAGAACATCAATAACTGCTCTTATAGTCCGAGTCCATATTCACGTAACAATAAGGAATTCCCCTCGACCACACCCACACATTTGGGAAAACATACATTCCTTCCTCTTGTAAAAGAGCCAACTTCGTCGTCTATTTTTTTTGTTATACAGAAATAACAAAACGTGCCGAAAAGCTGCTGCGTTGTTCAATGTAACCAGGCAAAAATCTCGACCTACGGTTTGCGATGCTCCCACGTAGGGAAATAGAGCCTGCGAGAAGAGCTCTTCTGAAAGCCAGTCAATATTTAAATTAACCAGAAAATAAACTTCTCTGTTGATATCACATACATTATTAAGGATTTCACACATGTTATCCAGATACAGACTGTTAGCTCTTGGTGGTCTATAGCAGCTTCCCACCAGAATGGGCTTTAGGTGAGGCAGGTGAACCTGTAGCCATATTACTTCAACAGTATTTAACATGAGATCCTCTCTAATCTTTACAGGAATGTGGTTCTGAATATAAACAGCAACACCTCCACCATTGGCATTACTGTCTTGTCTGTAAATGTTATAACCTTGTATTACTACCACTGTATAATCAAAGGTATTATCTAAGTGAGTTTCAAAGATAGTCAGAATATGAATGTCATCTGTTACTAGCAAATTATTGATTTCATGAACATGTTTCTTAAGCTACATATGTTAAGGTGGGCTATTGTGAGCACTTTTCCTCTGGGATGTTTTAATTGCTTTACTGGGAAACTTAGCAGAAGTAGATATGCTCATGTTATTTATGTTAGTGCAGGGTGAGCTGCACACAGTGGACTTCCTACTAGGGCACACCACCTGAGTTCTAACAGTATAAATCTGGTTTTAGGCACATGATTACTGCATCCAATAGCTGTAGGATCAGCAGAGGCATTCAGGGCAGTTAGAGGGACATAAATTAGGTTACTTACATTGTGTCTTCCAACGCCCCTGGTATAATGTACATTTGCTGAAGCATTATGACAACTCAGCGTCTCAATGGTAGGGATTAACTGAGCTGGGCTTGGGTCATTGATAAGTCATTGTCACAACGCAGCCTTATAATGCTGTGAAAGGATCCAGGAACCCAAATGATTTTGATGGATCACATCCTCCTTACAAAACGTGTTTTGTTTCCAAAAGATATCGAAATTGTCAACAAAAGTTACACCCATTGAGCTGCAGTAATCGCGTAGCCAGTTGTGAAGAGAGAGAATCCTGCTAAAGCGTTCAATGGCACGATATGATGGGTCTTTTTATTAGTGTCTAGCAGAGTCAATCAGCTCTTTAAAATCCAGTTTCAACTGTTCAGAGCTGCCCTTCATAATGTCATTAAACCCACATGGACTACGATAGAATCGACTTCCATGTCCTGGCGTAGTACATTCGGGAGCAGCTTAGTAATGTCATTTACTCCAGCTCCGGGATAGGACATTGTTTTTGCACCTGGAACGGTCACATTTCTTGATCACAGGTAAGACATTTAACTTGTTTAATATAGTCTGTTTGTAACTCCACTCACTACTTGTAGCTGTATAGTCTGTTTGTTTGCGTTGTTGGTCTTGGTTAGCTTAATGTTCCGGTCGGTAGCTAACTAGCACCGTCATGAAAAGAGACTTGAGGGAAGCCCTACAATATTACGTTTTTCTAAGTAGTGAAAACGCTTGGGAGCAGGCAATGTTGAAAAGTAATCTTTAGACATGTTGTACTTGAAATGTAGTTTTGTTATTGACTACCAATCAAATCAAATCAAATGTTATTGGCCACATGCGCCGAATACAACAGGTGCAGACATTACAGTGAAATGCTTACTTACAGCTCTTAACCAACAGTGCATTTATTTTTAATAAAAAAGTAGAATAAAACAACAAAAAAGTGTTGAGAAAAAAAGAGCAGAAGTAAAATAAAATAACAGTAGGGAGGCTATATATACAGGGGGGTACCGGTGCAGAGTCAGTGTGTAATAACAGTAGGGAGGCTATATATACAGGGGGGTACCGGTGCAGAGTCAATGTGTAATAACAGTAGGGAGGCTATATATACAGGGGGGTACCGGTGCAGAGTCATGTGTAATAACAGTAGGGAGGCTATATATACAGGGGGGGTACCGGTGCAGAGTCAATGTGTAATAACAGTAGGGAGGCTATATATACAGGGGGGTACCGGTGCAGAGTCAATGTGCAATAACAGTAGGGAGGCTATATATACAGGGGGGTACCGGTGCAGAGTCAATGTGTAATAAACAGTAGGGAGGCTATATATACAGGGGGGTACCGGTGCAGAGTCAATGTGTAATAACAGTAGGGAGGCTATATATACAGGGGGGTACCGGTGCAGAGTCAATGTGTAATAACAGTAGGGAGGCTATATATACAGGGGGTACCGGTGACAGAGTCAATGTGTAATAACAGTAGGGAGGCTATATATACAGGGGGTACCGGTGCAGAGTCAATGTGTAATAACAGTAGGGAGGCTATATATACAGGGGGGTACCGGTGCAGAGTCAATGTGTGGGGGGCACCGGCTAGGCTATATACAGGGGGGTACCGGTGCAGAGTCAATGTGCGGGGGCACCGGCTAGGCTATATACAGGGGGGTACCGGTGCAGAGTCAGTGTGTGGGGGGCACCGGCTAGGCTATATACAGGCTATTACAGTGTGGGGGTACCGGCTAGGCTATATATACTGTGCGGGGGCACCGGTGCTAGGCTTATACAGGGGTACCGGTGCAGGTCAATGCTCGGCTTATAAGGGGGGTAACCGGGAGTAGGGGGGCACGGCTAGGCATATACAGGGGGTACCGGTGCAGATGTCAATGGGCGGGGGCACCGCTAGGCCTATATATAAGGGGTTACCGGTGCAGAAGTCAATGTGCGGGGGCACCGGCTAGGCTATATACAGGGGGGTACCGGTGCAGAGTCAATGTGCGGGGGCACCGGCTAGGCTATAATACAGGGGGGTACCGGTGCAGAGTCAATGTGCGGGGGCACCGGCTAGTCGAGGTAGTTGAGGTAATATGTAGATGTGGGTAGAGACAAGCAGACAACAAGAAAATATGGGTTGAAAAAGGTTCCGTTTTTGCTGTGAGCCAATGGGATTAACCTAGGTAAACACAGGTTGTTTCCCCCCCCAGGTGGGCGGGGCCGCGACGTTCTATCTAATACCGACTGGGAATATAGAACACTGTGCTGAGAACCTTTAAAAAGTAGTTGTGTTGAAGGGCTTTATGAAAACTTCTCTAACACAAGTCTTCTTATATTCCCTTTCTCCGTCTCACAGGAGCGTTACGTGGCCAGTCTGATGCCTCTGCAGAAGAGCATCTCTCCTTGGAAGAGTCCTCCCCAGTTGAGACCGTTCCTCCAGGAGGAGTTTATGAAGACTCTGGAGAAGGCTGGTCCTCAGCTCACCTCACGACTCAAAGGAGACTGGATGGGACTCTACAGGTGCTGACATCCACATTTGCATTGTTGACACGCATAGATAGCCTGGTTCCACGTGTATTTAACCTTTTATTTATCCAGGGAGTCGACTGAGATGTCTCTTTTACAGATGAGCCCTGAATTACAAAAACGCACACATCAAATATGCAAAACAAACACAGTCATAGGGGAAGACATTCATCAGTAATAAGGTCCTCAATCAGTTTTCAGAATTTCCCAAGATGCACCAAAGCATCCAATTTTAAAGAGTTTTTGAGATTATTCTATAAATAAGGTGCAAAAAACTAAAATCGGATTTACCTAACTATGTAGATACCAAAGGAATTTCCAGTGTTCACTATTCCTGAGACCGGGGCAACGTGTACAGTACGTCTAAAAGTTATCCCTGAGACCGGGGCAACGTGTACAGTACGTCTAAAAGTTATCCCTGAGACCGGGGCAACGTGTACAGTACGTCTAAAAGTTATCCCTGAGACCGGGGCAACGTGTACAGTACGTCTAAAAGTTATCCCTGAGACCGGGGCAACGTGTACAGTACGTCTAAAAGTTATCCCTGAGACCGGGGCAACGTGTACAGTACGTCTAAAAGTTATCCCTGAGACCGGGGCAACGTGTACAGTACGTCTAAAAGTTATCCCTGAGACCGGGGCAACGTGTACAGTACGTCTAAAAGTTATCCCTGAGACCGGGGCAACGTGTACAGTACGTCTAAAAGTTATCCCTGAGACCGGGGCAACGTGTACAGTACGTCTAAAAGTTATCCCTGAGACCGGGGCAACGTGTACAGTACGTCTAAAAGTTATTCATGATTTTAGGTACAGCGGGTGTTTTGGTAAAATAGCTTTCTTTAGAAACTAAAAAAGAGAGTAGTGCATTGATCGTCGAGACTAAAGAGCGGGCCAGCCTACTTCCTGATGTCGAAGGCAGTGATGTGTACTGAACCTATCACCAGCGTAATAAATCGTAATGTGTTATGATAAACTGGGTCCAGTGGCGTCAATACAGTGGCAGCTGCATTCATATAGATGCTATTGCAATAGTCTAAAGCTGAGATGAATGTCGACTGGATGATTCGTTTTCTGCTATTTAATGAAAGGCATGCCCTATTCTTATAAATGAAGCCCATTTTAAAGCTTTTTATAAGATAGCTTTATTTTTTTACTTCTGTCTGTCTACCAGGAAACACAAGTCTGTTATGATGTAATAAAATGACAGTCTGTTATGATGTAATAAAATGACAGTCTGTTATGATGTAATATAATGACAGTCTGTTATGGTGTAATATAATGACAGTCTGTTATGATGTAATATAATGACAGTCTGTTATGATGTAATATAATGACAGTCTGTTATGATGTAATATAATGACAGTCTGTTGTGATGTAATATGATGACAGTCTGTTATGATGTAATATAATGACAGTCTGTTGTGATGTAATATGATGACAGTCTGTTATGATGTAATATGATGACAGTCTGTTATGATGTAATATGATGACAGTCTGTTATGATGTAATATGATGACAGTCTGTTATGATGTAATATGATGACAGTCTGTTATGATGTAATATGATGACAGTCTGTTATGATGTAATATGATGACAGTCTGTTATGATGTAATATGATGACAGTCTGTTTGATGTAATATGATGACAGTCTGTTATGATGTAATATGATGACAGTCTGTTATGATGTAATATGATGACAGTCTGTTATGATGTAATATGATGACAGTCTGTTATGATGTAATATGATGACAGTCTGTTATGATGTAATATGATGACAGTCTGTTATGATGTAATATGATGACAGTCTGTTATGATGTAATATGATGACAGTCTGTTATGATGTAATATAATGACAGTCTGTTATGATGTAATATAATGACAGTCTGTTATGATGTATATAATGACAGTCTGTTATGATGTAATATAATGACAGTCTGTTATGATGTAATATGATGACAGTCTGTTATGATGTAATATGATGACAGTCTGTTATGATGTAATATGATGACAGTCTGTTATGATGTAATATATGACAGTCTGTTATGATGTAATATAATGACAGTCTGTTATGATGTAATATAATGACAGTCTGTTATGATGTAATATAATGACAGTCTGTTATGATGTAATATGATGACAGTCTGTTATGATGTAATATGATGACAGTCTGTTATGATGTAATATAATGACAGTCTGTTATGATGTAATATAATGACAGTCTGTTATGATGTAATATAATGACAGTCTGTTATGATGTAATATAATGACAGTCTGTTATGATGTAATATAATGACAGTCTGTTATGATGTAATATGATGACAGTCTGTTATGATGTAATATGATGACAGTCTGTGCGTTTCCTGTTTGCAGACTTTGTGAATGTGACATGGTCTATGCATCCTAAAAGCCTGTTGTTGTTGTTGTTGTTGTTGTTGTTTTCATCTTGGTGTGTATTTCCTATCCAGACAGTTCCTGAGGTGTCCTAACTTTGACGGCTGGTTCAGGAATCGCAGGAGAGAGATGATGAAGAAACTGGAGGCCCTTCACCTGGAGGCTCTCTGTGAGGAGGTGAGTAATGAAGAAACCAGAGGCCCTTCACCTGGAGGCTCTCTGTGAGAAGCACTACATGAGGTATTTTTTATTTTTTATTTATTATGGATGCCAAGGCAGCAGCTACTCTTCCTGGGGTTTATTATGGATCCCAATTTAGTTCCTGCCAAGGCAGCAGCTACTCTTCCTGGGGTTTATTAAGGATCCCCATTAGTTCCTGCCAAGGCAGCAGCTACTCTTCCTGGGGTTTATTAAGGATCCCCATTAGTTCCTGCCAAGGCAGCAGCTACTCTTCCTGGGGTTTATTAAGGATCCCCATTAGTTCCTGCCAAGGCAGCGCAGCTACTCTTCCTGGGGTTTATTATGGATCCCCATTTAGTTCCTGCCAAGGCAGCAGCTACTCTTCCTGGGGTTTATTATGGATCCCCATTAGTTCCTGCCAAGGCAGCAGCTACTCTTCCTGGGGTTTATTACGGATCCCCATTAGTTCCTGCCAAGGCAGCAGCTACTCTTCCTGTGGTTTATTATGGATCCCCATTAGTTCCTGCCAAGGCAGCAGCTACTCTTCCTGGGGTTTATTAAGGATCCCCATTAGTTCCTGCCAAGGCAGCAGCTACTCTTCCTGGGGTTTATTATGGATCCCCATTAGTTCCTGCCAAGGCAGCAGCTACTCTTCCTGGGGTTTATTATGGATCCCCATTAGTTCCTGCCAAGGCAGCGCAGCTACTCTTCCTGGGGTTTATTATGGATCCCCATTTAGTTCCTGCCAAGGCAGCAGCTACTCTTCCTGGGGTTTATTATGGATCCCCATTAGTTCCTGCCAAGGCAGCAGCTACTCTTCCTGTGGTTTATTATGGATCCCCATTAGTTCCTGCCAAGGCAGCAGCTACTCTTCCTGGGGTTTATTATGGATCCCCATTAGTTCCTGCCAAGGCAGCAGCTACTCTTCCTGGGGTTTATTACGGATCCCCATTAGTTCCTGCCAAGGCAGCAGCTACTCTTCCTGTGGTTTATTATGGATCCCCATTAGTTCCTGCCAAGGCAGCAGCTACTCTTCCTGGGGTTTATTATGGATCCCCATTAGTTCCTGCCAAGGCAGCAGCTACTCTTCCTGGGGTCCAGCAACATTAAGGCAGTTATACAATTTTTAAACATTTCAATACATTCATAACAGATTTCACAACACACTGTGTGCCCTCAGGCCCCTACTCTACTACCACATATCTACAATACAAAATCCATGTGTACATTCCCTGCTGTTCCATAAGGTGTGTATGTGTATATATATATATATACTTTTTTTTGGTGGTATTTTACACATTTTTCTCCCCAATTACGTGATATCCAATTGGTAGTTACAGTCACATTGGTGCGGCTGGCTTCCAGGTTAAACGGGCACTTGCAACTCCCGTCCTCTGAAACACAACCCAACCGAGCCGACACTGCTTCTTGACACAGTGCCCGTTTAACCTGGAAGCAAGCCGCACCAATGTGTCGGAGGAAACACTGTACACCTGGCGACCGAGTCAGCGTGCACTGCGCCCGGCCCGCCACAGGAGTCGCTAGTGCGCGATGGGGCAAGAACATCCCTTCCTGGTCAAACCCTACCCTACCCTGGACGACGCTGGGCCAATTGTGCGCTGCCCCATGGGTCTCCCAGTCACGACAGAGCCTGGACTCGAACCAGGATCTCTAGTGGCACAGCCTTAGACCACAGCGCCTCTCGGGAGGCCCCATAAGGTGTATCTTTAAACGTTTTTTAAATCTAATTTTACTGCTGGCATGAGTTACTTGATGTGGAATAGAGTTCCATGTAGTCATGGCTCTATGTAGTACTGTGAACCTCCCATAGTCTGTTCTGGACTTGGGGACTGTGAAGAGACCTCTGGTGGCATGTCTGTGCGCCTCCCATAGTTTCCCAAGTCCCTCTTTGTGGCACCTGACCACACGACTGAACAGTAGTCCAGGTGTGACAAAACTTGGGCCTGTAGGACCTGCCTTGTTAATAGTGATGTTAAGAAGGCAGAGCAGCGCTTTATTAAAAAAAAAAAAATCAGTAGATCAGCTTTAATATTGCAGATAGATTGTAACTTCCATCAATGTAATTGTCAGCATCACTTCCAATCCCCCATGTTTTTTTCTTGCATATATATATATATATATATATACAAACATACATACATGCATACATGCATACATGCACAACTCTCAGGAGTGATTTTGTCCCACTCCTCTTTGCAGATCTTCTCCAAGTCATTAAGGTTTCGAGGCTGACGTTTGGCAACTCGAACCTTCAGCTCCCTCCACAGATTTTCTATGGGATTAAGGTCTGGAGACTGGCTAGGCCACTCCAGGACCTTAATGTGCTGCTTCTTGAGCCACTCCTTTGTTGCCTTGGCCGTGTGTTTTGGGTCATTGTCATGCTGGAATACCCATCCACGACCCATTTTCAATGCCCTGGCTGGGGGAAGGAGGTTCTCACCCAAGATTTGACGGTACATGGCCCCATCCATCGTCCCTTTCATGCAGTGAAGTTGTCCTTTCCCCCTAGCAGAAAAACACCCCCAAAGCATAATGTTTCCACCTCCGTGTTTGACATTTTTACATTTACATTTTAGTCATTTAGCAGACGCTCTTATCCAGAGCGACTTACATGAGCAATTAGGGTTAAGTGCCTTGCTTAAGGGCACATCGACAGATTTTTCACCTAGTCGGCTCGGGGATTAGAACCAGCGACCTTTCGGTTACTGGCACAACGCTCTTACCCACTAAGCTACCTGCCGCCCTGACGGTGGGGATGGTGTTCTTGAGGTCATAGGCAGCATTCCTCCTCCTCCAAACACGGTGAGTTGATGCCAAAGAGCTCGATTTTGGTCTCTTCTGACCACAACACTTTCACCCAGTTCTCCTCTGAATCATTCAGATGTTCATTGGCAAACTTCAGACGGGCCTGTATATGTGCTTTCTTGAGCAGGGGGACCTTGCGGGCGCTGCAGGATTTCAGTCCTTCACGGCGTAGTGTGTTACCAATTGTTTTCTTGGTGACTATGGTCCCAGCTGCCTTGAGATCATTGACAAGATCCTCCCGTGTAGTTCTGGGCTGATTTACTCACCTTTCTCATGATCATTACAACTACACGAGGTGAGATCTTGCATGGAGCCCCAGGCAGAGGGAGATTGACAGGTCTTTTGTGTTTCTTCCATTTGAGAATAATCGCACCAACTGTTGTCACCTTCTCACCAAGCTGCTTGGCGATGGTCTTGTAGCCCATTCCAGCCTTGTGTAGGTCTACAATCTTGTCCCTGAAATCCTTGGAGAGCTCTTTGGTCTTGGCCATGGTGGAGAGTTTGGAATCTGATTGATTGATTGCTTCTATGGACAGGTGTCTTTTATACAGGTAACAAACTGAGATTAGCAGCACTCCCTTTAAGAGTGGGCTCCTAATCTCAGCTCGTTACCTGTATAAAAGACACCTGGGAGCCAGAAATCTTTCTGATTGAGAGGGATTCAAATACTTCTTTCCCTCATTAAAATGCAAATCAATTTATAACATTTTTGACATGCGTTTTTCTGGATTTTTTTGTTGTTATTCTGTCTCTCACTGTTCAAATAAACCTACCATTTAAAATTATAAACTGATAATTTCTTTGTCAGTAGGCAAACGTACAAAATCAGCAGGGGATCAAATACTTTTTTCCCTCACTGTACCTTGCGGATCTGTTTGGACAATTTGCACATTTGGATCGAAATTACTGTTAATTAATATCATCACCCCTTTTGAGTTTCTTTGCCCATGGGAGAAGTATATTTAGCCCCCCCTTTCCTTTTTCCATACAACTTAATCTAGAATTGTTGAATGAGTTTCCTGTAAACAATAGATATTATATTCCTTCTCTTTGAGCCATGTAAATATTGTTATTCTTTTGTTATCTGCTAAGCCATTACAATTATAACTGGCTATACTTATTTCACCATATACCGTAATGAGATACAAGTTTCAAATCTATTTACCATTATATATGTTTGTAAATTTACCATTAAAAAATACCATAGTGATCGAGTGTCCATATAGCTGTACCATGATATTTGCATTGCTACTAAGTAACCCTCCAATTGTTCTCCACTAATTCCCCCGCTAAAGCCCCTCCCCATCCCAAGTTGGGTTGTCATCCCAGTGATCGGCATACCACCCCCGTCCTCCCCTGGATCCCTAGGCCCCCCCCCAAGAGGCCAGGACCCAGCCTTTTGAAAACAGCACACAGTGCCACCCACAAAACAGAAGCAGGTCAACCGCCAAAAGCATTTCCAAATGCTCAATATATATTTAGCTATTTAAAAATACATATCTATTCAAATATCTTGCACATCTTAATTTCCATCATTATCAATTAATATGCGTAATAATGTCGGCATTTCATGCGAAGGATTGTTACCTATAACCCGGATTACCATTGTATTACATTACATTTATTGACCATCCTAACCATTTGTATTACATTACATTGTATTACATTTAATTTATTTATTACATTTTTGTCAAGCTATTCTTATTTTAGCAAGTGTGGTTCATCCTATATTCTCCCTAACATCCTTACCCCAGATGTGGGATACACACACGCACATTTTACATTTTAGTCATTTAGCAGACGCTCTTATCCAGAGCGTCTTACAGTTAGTGAGTGCATACATTTCCATACTGGACCCCCCCGTGGGAAACGAACCCACAACCCTGGCGTTGCAAGCGCCATGCTCTACCAACTGAGCTACAGGAGGATTTCACGTACTCTAACACACTCCACCCCTTTCCTCCACAATCAACCATAAGCTCAGATGCTCAACGGTTGTTACATCCCAGAGCCCAACTCAAGAAAGGACCTGATTTTACAAATGCATATACAGTTACAGCTGTTTGAGAAAGCATGCGTGATTGAGCAAAAATTGACAAATATTTGAGATTTGATTATTTCAAGTCCTAGGTGATGGAGATCAGATCAGCACTTTATTATAGACAGACCTCTCCCCATCTTAGCTACTGTTGTATCAATATGTTTTGACCATGACAGTTTACAATCCAGGGTTACTCCAAGCAGTTTAGTCTCTTGAACAAAGCCAGTGGCATGTCGTTAGTAAAGATTGAACAAATTAAGGGGCCTAGACAGCTGCCCTGGGGAATTCCTGATTCTACCTGGATTATGTTTGAGAGGCTTCCATTAAAGAACACCCTCTGTGTTCTGTTAGACAGGTAACTCTTTATCCACAATATAGCAGGGGGTGTAAAGCCATAACATATACGTTTTTCCAGCAGCAGACTATGATCGATAATGTCAGAAGCCGCACTGAAGTCTAACAAAACAGCCCCCACAATCTTTTTATCATCAATTTCTCTCAGCCAATCATCAGTCATTTGTGTAAGTGCTGTGCTTGTTGAATGTCCTTCTCTATAACTGTGCTGAAAATCTGTTGTCAATTTGACAGAGAGTATTGTATCTGGTCAAACACCATGTTTCCCAAATGTTTACTAAGGGTTGGTAACAGGCTGATTGGTCGGTTATTTGAGCCAGTAAAGGGGGCTTTACTATTCTTGGGTAGTGGAATGACTTTTGCTTCCCTCCAGACCTGAGGGAACACACTTTCTAGTAGGCTTAAATTGAAGATATGGCAAATAGGAGTGGCAATATCGTCTGCTATTATCCTCAGTAATTTTCCATCCAGGTTATCAGACCCCGTTGGCTTGTCATTGTTAATAGACAACAATCGTTTTTCCACCTCTTCCACACTCACTTTACGGAATTCAAAATTACAATGCTTGTCTTTCATAATTTGGTCAGATATACTTGGATGTGTAGTGTCAGCGTTTGTTGCTGGCATGTCATGCCTAAGTTTGCTAATCTTGCCAATGAAAAAATCATTAAAGTAGTTTGCAATATCAGAGGGTTTTTGTGATGAATGAGCCATCTGATACAATGAATGATGGAGCTGAGTTTGCCTTTTTGGCCAAAATTTCATTTAAGGTCTTCCAAAGCTTTTTACTATCATTCTTTATATCATTTATCTTTGTTTCATAGTATAGTTTATTCTTATTTTTATTCAGTTTAGTCACATGATTTCTCAATTTGCAGTACGTTTGCCAATCGGTTTTACAGCCAGACCTATTTGCCACATCATGCATCGGGGCCTATTGACAACTCTCTCTCCATTTTTATATTCTTCATGTAGGATCTGCAGTTGCGTGTCCAGCAACACACTGAGGTGGAGACTGTGGACCTCGTTCTCAAACTCAAAGACAAACTGGTCAGTATGGGGTTGTTTTCGTTGGAACAGATTGACATGGTATTCTCCAGACTGACAGGACTTCAGCCTTCTGCTCATTAGTGATAGAACACATAACAGTAGTGTGGTTCTACCAACCCATTGATTTGTACTCTACGTGGCCAAAAGTATGTGGACACCTGCTCGTCGAACATCTCTTTCTAAAATCATGAGCGTTAATATGGAGTTGGTCCCCCCTTTGCTGCTATAACAGCCTCCACTCTTCTGGGAAGGCTTTCCACTAGATGTTGGAACATTGCTACGGGGACTTGATTCCATTCAGCCACAAGAGCATTAGTGAGATCGGGCACTGATGTTGGGCGATTAGGCCAGGCTCGCAGTCGGCGTTCCAATTAATCCCCAAGGTGTTCGATGGAGTTGAGGTCAGGGCTGTGTGCAGGCCAGTCAAGTTCTTCCACACCGATCTCGACAAACCATTTCTGTATGGACCTCGGTTTGTGCACTGGGTCAATGTTATGCTAAAACAGGAAAGGGCCTTCCCCAAACTGTTGTCACAAAGTTGGAAGCACAGAATGGTCTAGAATGTCATTGTATGCTGTAGCGTTAAGATTTCCCTTCACTGGAACTAAGGGGCGTAGCCCGAACCATGAAAAACAGCCCCAGACCATTATTCCTCCTCCACCAAACTTTACAGTTGGCACTATGCATTGGGGCAGGTAGCGTTCTCCTGGCATCCGCCAAACCCAGATTCATCCGTAGGATTGCCATATGGTAAACCATGATTCATCACTCGCGTTTCCACTGCTCCAGAGTCCAATGGCGGCGAGCTTTACACCACTCCAGCTGACGCTTGGCATTGCGCATGGTGATTTGTATTTCTGTTTATTATGGATCCCCATTAGTTCCTGCCAAGGCAGTAGCTACTCTTCCTGGGGTTTATTATGGATCCCCATTTAGTTCCTGCCAAGGCAGCAGCTACTCTTCCTGGGGTCCAGCAAAGTTAAGGCAGTTATACAATTTTAAAAACATTACAATACATTCATAGCAGATTTCACAACACATTAAGTGTGTTCCCTCAGGCCCCTACTCTACTACCACATATCTACAACACAAAATCCATGTGTACGTGTGTGTATAGTGTGTATGTGATCTTAGTCCTGTGTTTAGCTGCTCAGCCATGGAAACCCATTTCATGAAGCTCCCGATTGAACAGTTCTTGTGCTGACGTTGCTTCCAGAGGCAGTTTGGAACTCTGTAGTGAGTGTTGCAAACGAGGACAGACGATTTTTACGCGTTTCAACACTCGGCGGTCCCGTTCTGTGAGCTTGTGTGGCCTACCACTTCACGGCTGAGCCGTTGTTGCTCCTAGACGTTTCCACGTCACAATAACAGCACTTACAGTTGACCGGGGCAGCTCTAGCAGGGCAGAAATTTGACGAACTGACTTGTTGGAAAGGTGGCATCCTATGACGGTGCCACGTTGAAAGTCACTGAGCTCTTCAGTAAGACCATTCTACTGCCAGTGTTTGTCTATGGAGATTGCATGGCGGTGTGCTCGATTTTTATACACCTGTCAGCTGAAATAGCCAAATCCACTAATTTGAAGGGGTGTCCACATACTTTTGGCCATGGTATGTTCAGTGTAAGCTAAATTAACTTGATTTATGTTAGCTAACACAAAGTATCTTAAAGAACTGGGAAGTCATCCAGATGATTTGATGCCTTGCTGACCTGTTCCTCCCTACTGTCTGTTCTAGACTCAGGCAGAGAGAGAGCAGCTTCCTCTGAGGCCGGGGACGTTGACCAAACTACAGGCCCACATCGACTCTGTCATCCTGTCATTACCTGATGATCTACAGGGAATCCTGCACAAGCCCTCCACACCCTGACCTCCACACCCTGACCTCCACACCCCTGACCTTTAACCCCTGACCACTAATCATTGACCTATAACCCCTGGGGGAGGAGGAAGGAAGGACTGTTTCAGTCTCAGCATTGAACTATGGATTTTTAACAGACATATATATTATATATCATTTTTTTAAAGTGCCCTCTCTAAGATCTGTGTGGCTGCCAGCCCCAACCCCTCTCCCACATCATGTGCAATGCTGGCATTGCCCAAATCCGCTGATGATTATTGATTATGCAACCTGTCAGAAATAAGAAGATAAGCCAATAAGTGGTTTATTGCTCAGAGAACGTCTGTGCTGCAGTGAGTCATGTGACGTAGGTGAAGTCAAAAAGGGAAAGACCATAATCTGTGTCCGGGAAACCGGCCCTTAGTCTACACTTATTAAAACAGCCTGGTTTGGTTTCTACACTGCGCTGATACTGCAGTTGCAATAAACGACAGACGGGTTGCGTAATATATGGCTTAATTGTCAACAGTACGTGTACGGTATGAAAGGTTGCTGTGCTGTTGTGTGTATATGTTGAAGACATGATGACAGGAAGAGCTGTGATGTATAGCATCACTGAGTGTACAAAACATTAAGAACACCTTCCTAATATTGAGTTGCGGCCCCTTTTGCCCTCAGCCTCAATTCGTCGGGGACATGGACTCTACAAGGTGTCGAAAGCGCTCCACAGGAATGCTGGTCCATGTTGACTCCAATTTTTTTTTTTTTTTTTTTATTTCACCTTTATTTAACCAGGTAAGCCAGTTGAGAACAAGTTTGCTTCCCACAGTTGTGTCAAGTTGGCTGGATGTCCTTTGGGTGGTGGACCATTATTGATACACACAGGAAACTGTTAAGTGTGAAAAACCCAGCAGCGTTGAAGTTCTTGACACAAACCGATACGCCTGGCACCTACTACCATACCCCGTTCAAAGGCACTTCAATCTTTTGTCTTGGCCATACACCCTCTGAATGGCACACATACACAATCTATGTCTCAATTGTCTCAAGGCTTAAAAATCCTTCTTTAACCCGTCTCCTCCCCTTCATCTACACTGATTTGAAGTGGATTTAACAAGTGACATCAATAAGGGATCATAGCTTTCACCTGGTCAGTCTATGTCATGGAAAGAGCAGGTGTTCTTAATGTTTTGTACACTCAGTTGAGGAGACGACATCAGGGTGGCATTCATGAGGCACAAAACAGATTTGAAACAAGCTTGTCCAATAATAAATGGTTGTTTGCTTTGCGTTGCAAAACGTTTTGTTACGCTGTGCCCTAATGAATAGGACCCGGTTGGAGGTTGGTCTGTGTGTGTTGATTAGAATACCAGGGTGCTGTTGTTATTTTAGACCAATACCAGGGTGCTGTTGTTATTTTAGACCAATATGATTGAACTTGTATATCATCATCATTATTAGAAGAACAGAAGGAGAATGACCTGAACTGCTTCCCAAATGGCACCCTATTCCTTCTATTGGAACAACACTTTTGGTCTAAATTTGTATTTTATATTAGGGAGACATTTGGGATGCAATAATTCTAAATCATGTTGTTAAATCATGTTGTTAAAATGGGCAACAGGGAAACTGACTGACTGACATTGCCTTGTCATATTGATTTGGACCTGATTTTGTGAAGTTGTATCCCATTATTCATCTGTGTAGGCCCACCACAACCCATATGAAAAGTCCTTGAGCACCAGGACTTTCTAGCGGCTAGCTAAACCAGAGTTGGGGGGTTTCCTACCGTTCCACTGACACTGGCTGGTTCTCCAATGGCACCCTGTTCCATTTCCACTTGAGACCCAGCCACTTTCTCTCTGTCTTGAGACCCAGCCACTGTCTCTCTGTCTTGAGACCCAGCCACTGTCTCTCTGTCTTGAGACCCATCCACTGTCTCTCTGTCTTGAGACCCAGCCACTGTCTCTCTGTCTTGAGACCCAGCCACTTTCTCTGTCTCTCTTTCCGCCATGTCATTTATTTGGTTCACACCAACTGTTTCATCATAAACAAATGTTGCTGATCATAATGGTTGTTGATAGCCTTGGTACTAGTCTGTTTAGCTAATCATTCCACTCCTTGTCTTATGACATGGAGTACAAGGAGTGGAATACATTTTACATTTCAGTCATATAGCAGACGCTCTTATCCAGAGCGACTTACAGTTAGTGAGTTTTTTTTATTTATACTGGCCCCCCGTGGGAATCGAACCCACAACCCTGGCGTTGCAAGCGCCATGCTCTACCAACTGAGCTACAGGGGACTGTTGGCTAACAGACTGGTCCCCGGGCTAACAGACTGGTCCCCGGGCTAACAGACTGGTCCCCGGGCTAGGATGTTGATACGGGATGTGGAAATGCTGTGATGTTAGCTTCATGACCTTGTTTAGCCTTCTAGATCCTAACTGTTTTGTATTCAAGCTATTTTAATGAACAAACTTCACTTTTGTTTTTATGCTTTGAGTAGTAGTTTTGTTTAGAGCGTATTCCATGCATGGTGTGCAATGTCTCAACCATGAGATGCAATGTCTCAACCATGAGATGCAATGTCTCAACCATGAACTGACTGATGAGATGTTAGTGTAGAGTTCTTCCTCTGTTGAACTGTTGGTACTGTTGTAACGCATCAGAATTCCATTGGAACTGTTGTAACGCATCAGAATTCCATTGGAACTGTTGTAACGCATCAGAATTCCATTGGAACTGTTGTAACGCATCAGAATTCCATTGGAACTGTTGTAACGCATCAGAATTCCATTGGAACGGTATGGAACGCTATAATTCCATTGGAACTGTTGTAACGCATCAGAATTCCATTGGAACGGTATGGAACGCTATCATTCCATTGGAACTGTTGTAACGCATCAGAATTCCATTGGAACGGTATGGAACGCTATAATTCCATTGGAACTGTTGTAACGCATCAGAATTCCATTGGAACGGTATGGAACGCTATCATTCCATTGGAACTGTTGTAACGCATCAGAATTCCATTGGAACTGTCCTCCGAGGGAACATTTCAGTTAAATTAATATTGGTAGGTACACACCTGTGACAATTGGTTTTATATTTTGAAAATACTTATTTTAACAAGCTTCAATTTTGTATAAAGGGCTATTCTCATATTCCATTCATCTAAAAAGTTATGTTTTGTACATATGTTGTAAAAAAATATATACCCAGCCATCGCCCATTTATGATTATATTCATTATATTACCATTACAATGGTTATTTTACTAAATATAGATATTACTGACATGGAATACTATAAATGTGTAATATCTTCCAATGGGCTGGTTAGATGTTACAGAACTAGATTAAGGATGGTAACACAACAACAAAATATACTACATCATATTGCTTTGAGTAACTCAGTATTTTTACATTTGCAATGTTTGATCCTTTTGTATTGAAGCCTTAATATATTAACTACTGAGGAACCACTATTAATGCTTACAGACTGTAATGGCATTCAGTGAGAGGAAGTATTTTAATGTGAATAAACGGGCAACTAGGAACTTACTAATAAATGGTTTGGTATTTTCTTTGTTTTGTGAATGGGGAGCATTGTAAAATACATACAGTATATTAACACACTTATCTTAACACAGCATTTAGAATGTTAACAGTGTAGTAAGTAGGAAATAGCAGCCTTGTGGACCAATCAGATTCTATCTGTATAAAAGAGCATTTGCAACATCCTCTTTCATGACTCCAACAGAATATATACACTGAGTATGAAAAAATGTATGCACTCACTTAACTGTAAGTCGCTCTGGATAAGAGCGTCTGCTAAATGACTAAAAATGCAAAATGTAAAATGAAAGTGACGTGGAGGCGCAGTGGTCTAAGGCGCTGCATCGCAGTGCTAGCTGTGCCACTAGAGATCCTGTTTCGAATCCAGCCTCTGTCGTAGCCGGCCGCGACCGGGAGACCCCATGGGGCGGCGCACAATTGGCCCAGCGTCGTCCAGGGTAGGGGAGGGAATGGCCGGCAGGGATGTAGCTCAGTTGGTAGAGCATGGCGTTTACTAGAGACTATATAAGCGGGGCAGGGAGGTAGCTCAGTTGGTAGAGCATGGCGTTTACTAGAGACTATATAAGCGGGGGAATGGCCGGCAGGGAGGTAGCTCAGTTGGTAGAGCATGGTGTTTACTAGAGACTATATAAGCGGGGGAATGGCCGGCAGGGAGGTAGCCCAGTTGGTAGAGCATGGCGTTTACTAGAGACTATATAAGCGGGGCAGGGAGGTAGCTCAGTTGGTAGAGCATGGTTTACAGAGACTATATAAGCGGGGCAGGGAGGTAGCTCAGTTGGTAGAGCATGGTGTTTACTAGAGACTATATAAGCGGGGCAGGGAGGTAGCTCAGTTGGTAGAGCATGGCGTTTACTAGAGACTATATAAGCGGGGCAGGGAGGTAGCTCAGTTGGTAGAGCATGGTGTTTACTAGAGACTATATAAGCCGAGGGGACATGGAGGCAGGGAGGTAGCTCAGTTGGTAGAGCATGGGTATATAGCGGGCGGGCGGAGTCAGTTGAGAGCACTTTACTAGAGACTATATGAGGGGCAGGGAGGTAGCCAGTTGGTAGAGCATGGCGTTTACTAGAGACTATATAAGCGGGGGAATGGCCGGCAGAGGAGGTAGTTGTCAGTTGGTAGAGCATGGTCGTTTACTAGAGGGGACTATATAAAGCGGGGCAGGGAGGTAGCTCCAGGTGGTAAGAGCATGGTTGTTTACTAGAGACTATATAAGCGGGGCAGGAGGTAGCTCAGTTGGTAGAGCAGGTGTTTACTAGAGACTATATAAGCGGGCAGGAGGTAGCTCAGTTGGTAGAGCATGGTGTTTACTAGAGACTATATAAGCGGGCAGGAGGTAGCTCAGTTGGTAGAGCATGGCTTTACTAGAGACTTATAAGCGGGGAATGGCCGGCAGGGAGGTAGTTCAGTTGGTAGAGCATGGCGTTTACTAAGACTATATAAGCGGGGGAATGGCCGGCAGGAGGTAGCTCAGTTGGTAGAGCATGGCGTTTCTAGAGACTATATAAGCGGGGGAATTGGCCGGCAGGGAGGTAGCTCAGTTGGTAGAGCATGGCGTTTACTAGAGACTATATAACGGGGGAATGGCCGGCAGGGAGGTAGTTCAGTTGGTAGAGCATGGCGTTTACTAGAGACTATATAAGCGGGGGAATGGCCGGCAGGGAGGTAGCTCAGTTGGTAGAGCATGGCGTTTACTAGAGACTATATAAGCGGGGCAGGGAGGTAGCTCAGTTGGTAGAGCATGGCGTTTACTAGAGACTATATAAGCGGGGGAATGGCCGGCAGGGAGGTAGCTCAGTTGGTAGAGCATGGCGTTTACTAGAGACTATATAAGCGGGGG